GGAACGCGGCGGAACCGCGTTCCGGCACCTTTTTCCGGGCCGGCCGCACCGGAAATAGCCCCTCCCGCACCGGAAATAGCCCCTCCCAAATTTTACTTGCATTCCTGTTCTCTAAAGGGGCGGTCCTAGGGTTTGATGAGGGCGTGGCCAGGTTTGAGTTCCGCCACCTTTTCTCTGAGAAAAAAAGCCCTGGATAGATCATAGATTTAAAATAGAGTAGAAATGTATTTTTTGGAGTAATATTCTTGTTTTTAGAAAGGATAGTCATTTTGTAATGGAAGAAGAATAAGAGGGATTTTTGATAAAAGAAGAAATGATATTAACAAATGAGTCACTGATTATGTCAAGGAAAAAGGGAAAGGAGAGACACCTGAAGTGTTAATAATATATTTATTTAAGCAAAATTGGAACATGGTAATTGTAAATAGTAAAGCTCAATACAGGATCTGGATTCATATAGATGAAATGTTATTGATGATTGTTTTGATTGATTCAACTTTATTGAAAAATACATTAATTTGAATATAATATATTATTTGAGGGAATAGAGAGGGAGTTTTTAATGATTTAATCTGAATTACATATGTATGATTTTGTTTTTGGATAATTGATTACCCTGTCACCACGTTGTTTCTCAAACACTTGTTTGTAAAAAGAAAAAAACCAATAAAACTTGTTTAAAACAAAAATAAATAAATAAATATTTTAACTTTTGCATTCACATTTCATTCTATCCCTCCTTTTGCATCCTTTCTTTAATGATTCTATTCCACTATTTCTTTGATACTAGTTTAAGTTTTGTCCCACAACAACTTGTCCTGTGGCAAATTGGCCATGGCAAGTTATCCTGTAGCGAGTTGGCCATGGCAAGTTGGCCGTGAATTGACCTTGGTGAGTTAGCCACAGCGAACTGTCATAGACCCATTCCAACAGCACCCACATCATCACTGTAATTCAGCCTACCCACCTTGCTGCTGGTTTTCCCCGTCTTTTTTTTCCTTCCATCTTTCCCAGCATTAAAGCCTTCTCCATTTATAAATAATAATACATTGAGGATATGACCCTAAGCTCAAAGTTTTATACTTTTTATATTTATCTGTCATAAATAGAATGCAATGTACTTTGCTTGGTATATTTTACCATTTATTAATGTATATTGAACATTAATTGTATAATTTGAGAAATTTTCTTTGTATACTTATTGATATTATCTCTTTTAGAAGTGTATCTTTCTTTTAACTAAATAAATAAAAGGAAAAGGGAAAAAAGTTAGTTGGTGTATCAAAGGTACATTAAAATCTCAGCCTTTCTTCAAACTTCATTTAAACATTGGAGACTTAATTTGTTATTTTCCCCAAATGGCCTTTTTGTATATGCTGCAGCTGCCAAACTGTTATGATGGAAATAAAATTATAAAAAGAGTGGTGCTGTAGTTAAAACTTTTTAAATTAGACAATTATTTTGTCTTAGCTGAAAATCTTTTAAGAGATAATAACTGTATAGAACTATTTCAAAAGAAATAAATCAAACATTTTCATAGCTAATAAAAATATGAAACTCTCAGGAACCCAAGCATGGTATTCTGCCCTTTGGCCAGTTCTCCTGTGAACTTACCTAATGGCAGTATTCCATACAGGGCTATAAGTTGCTTCACATCTGTAAGAGAAGGCATTGGTTCTACATCTACCTGTCGAAGTATGGTCCCCAGATAGTTGTACTCACCTACAAGGAAGAAACAAATGTGCAATACAAAACGCTTAGTTTCAAAAAGTAGACTATAGAACACTGCATCATAGCTTTGGAAGGAACCTAGTCCAAACCCCTGCTTAAGGAAGGAGACCTTATATTATCCCAGTCAAATGGCTGTCCAGTCCATTCTTGAAAGCCACCAGTAATGGAGCACCCACAATTCCAAGAGGCAAGTTGTTCCATTGATTAATTGTTCTCACTGTCCCCTTAATTTTAGTTTGGATCTCTCTTTAACAAACCTCCACCCATATTTCTTGTACTGCCTTCTAATGCTTTGGGGAATAAGTCAAATCTTTTCTTGTGATCACCTCCCAACACAGATAGTCACCCCTAGTCCTTCTCTTCAATAGGCTAGACATACCTAGCTCCCTCAACCATTCATCATACGATTTAACCTCCAGATCCCTTCTCATCTTTGATGCCCTTCTCTGCACTCTTTCTAGGGGTTTAGCATGTTTTCTGTATCATGGTGATCAGAACTGGATACAGTATTCCAAATGTGATCTCACTATTGCAGTATAAAGTATACTATTACTTCTTATGATCCTGATGCTGTCCCTCTGTTGATGCAGCCTAGGACTGCATTTGCTTTTTTGACAGCACTGCTGGCTCATACTTAAGCAGTGGTCCACTTAAGTAGAAACAAGTAGAAATTGTTAGGGAACATAAATACAACATTTTCAATTCTAACAGTTACTTAGTTGGAATGCATTCTTAACATGAATGACACATAGGCATAGATTCTAAACTTCTAAACTTTCTAAACTGTAAATAATATCATTCACTCATTCAGCAACCATTTAAGGTTACGACAGCACTGAATGAGGAATACTTAAGAGATATAATAGAATAACAGAGTTGGAAGGTACCTTGGAGATCTTCTAATGATCCAACCCACTGCATAAATAGGGGACCCTCTACCAGCGGTCCCCAACCGTTGCAGCTTGGTGGCCTAGCTGGTGGGGGGAAGAGGGAAACTGGGCCACTTGAGTAGTGAGCCAGTGCGCAGCTTGACTTGCATGAGCGGTGGGCCAGCACGCACCGCTTGCGCAAATTGAGCTGCGCGCATGTGCTCTAGCCAGCCACTCAAGCGGCCCAATTCCAATTAAGCTGCAGCCCAGTAGTGGGCCCAGAGGTTGGGGACCCTGCCCTATACCATTATGGACAAATGGCTGTCCAATCTCTTCTTTAAAACCTCCAGTGATGGAACACCCATAAATTCTAAAGGCAAGCTGTTCCACTGGATAATAGTTTTCACTGTCAGGAAATGTCTCCTTAGTTCTAGGTTGGTTTTCTCCTAGATTAGTTTCCATCCATTGCGTCTTGTTCTGCCTTCTGGTGCTTTGCTAAATAGATGGGCCCTCTCTTCTTTGTGGCAGTCCCTCAAATAACAAAACACTGCTATCATTTTATCCCTGCTCCTTCTTTTCACTAGAGGGAGAAAGCAGAACTGCTTAATTCATTCTTTGCATCAAGCAATTTATAGAATCAAGCAATTTATAGAATCAAGCAATTTATAGAATCAAGCAATTTATAGAAGCCAATATGGGTTTATTAAAAACAGATCATGCCAGACACTTTTAGCCTTCTTTGATAAAGTGACTAAATTGGTGGATTGAGGAAATGCTGCAGACATAGTATACTTAACCTTCAGTAAGGCATTTCACGAAATAGACCACATCTTATTCCTTGTTAAGATAGAAAAATGTAAGATAGATAGCATCACCTTCAGAAGTTGTGAGTAATTCAACATCTCCATAAATTATTTAGATGAGGGGGGAAAAGGGGGCCTCATGAAATTTGCAGATGACAGCAAACTGGGGGCAATTGTCAGCACTTTAGAAGATATAGTCAAGATACAGAAGGATCTTGACATACTTGAACATTGGGCCCTATTCAGCAGGATGCTGTTCAGTAGTGAGAGAAGTAAGGTTCTGAAACTAGGCAGGAAAAATCAAATGCAAAAGTATAGAATAGGCAGTACATGGCTCAACAGGAGTAAATGTGAGAAGGATCTAGGTATTCTACTGGACTGCCACTTAAGTGTAAGCCAGCAGTGTGCTGCAGGTGCCAAAAAAGCCAAAAGCAGTCCTAGGCTATATCAACAGAGGGATATTATCAAAATCACGAGAAGTGAGAATACTGGTCTATATTGCACTAATGAGGCCACACTTGGAATACTGCATTCAGTTCTGGTCGCCATGATACAAAAAAAATAATAAATGCTCAGGTCCTAGAAAAACTGTAGAGAAGAGCAACAAAGGAGTCTGGAGCTAAACTGTATGATGGACGATTAAGGGAACAATTAAGGGTGACATGATAGCTGTCTTTCAGTACTTGAGGGACTGCACAGAGAAGAGGGAATTGACTTATTCTCCCAAATACCTGAGAGCAGGACAAGAAGTGGTGGGTGGAAGATCATCAAAAAGAGATCCAACCTAGAACTAAGAAGAAATTTGCTGAGATTGAGAGCAATCAATCAGTAAAACAGCTTGCCTCCAGAAGCTGTAGGTGCTCCATCACTGGAAGTTTTCAAAAAGAGATTGGACAGCCATTTATTCAGAATGTTATAGGGTTTCCTGCTCAAACAGGGATTGGACTAGAAGACTTCCAAAGTCCCTTCCAACCCTGTTATTCTATGTTCTAAGTGACATCACATAGCAATGCAGCTCCCAATTACTATAGTTAAGTGAGGATTACCTGTTCTTATTCACAGTCACGGGAGAGTTGGCGGCTGGAGTCATGGCAACATGGTCTTCAGAGCACCCCCACTGCCACACTCTGCATGGGCAGAGCTGCAAAGGGGACCAGGGGCTGAAGTCGCCAACCCAGGGACAATGCAGAGAGCCTACCACCGGTCTCCAGAGCTGCCACCATTGAAACCATACAATACAGGCGGTAGCACAAGGGGCTGCTGCAGAACCCAAGTAGCAGGCTGAGGAGGAGGCAGCCTCCCGCTGCCAGGCAAGTAATCTGTGAGGCGGGGTGAAGTGGGGAGGGCAGGGATCAAAGAAAGCCCCTCCAATGGTGGACACAGCTGTTGCGCAACGGCAGTGGAAGCCTTTTGCCATAATTTCCGCCCCCGGCTCCAAAATGGTGGAAAGGAACCGGATAAGGGGACCGAGCCTCCCTCACCCATCCTCCATAGTATGGCAGTCCAGCTTGGGAGGGGAGTGAAAGGGAAGAGGTGGGAGGGTAGCCGGGTCATTGAATGGGTGGGGGTAGATTGCCGAGCAGGGAATGGCCTGGTTGCAGGGACCCTAAGGTGCGTGGGTAAGGGGCGCATGGGGCAGCTCCACACACACCTGCCTCGCCTTACCTTGTGGCAGCACCAGCACACCGCACAGCTTCCTGCCCCGTTATGGCAGTGAGCAACCAGACAATGGGCTCTTAATTAGGGCTTATTTTGGGGGGGGGCTTATATTAGGCACACACTAAAAACCACGCTAGGGCTTATTTTTTGGGGTCGCTCTTATTTTCGGTGAAACACGGTAGAATCAGAAAGTGCTCAACATACCTTAAATAATAAATTTATAATTGTAATTCTCCTCCAAAATGTGGAAGTTTTTGTGAGCATTCGTTTTTGGACTATTGTGTTTAAAATTTGGAGATAGGAGTACCATCTAAACTTATAGCATTGTCAGAAATGCCACTACAATAATAAGTACAGAACACTAAGTGTGTGCATATTTGTGCTGTTCGTGCTATCATCTATCCTACATTCACTCAGAAATACACTCTATTGAAATATTCAACTGTTGTAACATCAATGTAAGAGTACTGAATAAAACTTACCCTGCGCATATGGCAAATTAGATTCTAGATACGTTTAAAGATCACTCACCAACCTGTGAGGAACTTTCTGTTTGTCCGGGTGCTACTCTTCCTTTGGGCTTTTCAAATTTTTCTACTTCTATTTAATGAATAGCTGTGGAAGTTGGGTGGCCCAGTTACTGGTAAGTATTTTAAAAACCTTCCCTTTGGCATTTTGTATTATTATTACAGATTACCAGATATTTAAGTTAAGACCATAAATAATGTATCAATCTTTAATTCTGTTTGAAGTCTGCTACTATCAGGAAGAACAATTTACTAAAATGTGTAAACTGCAGCCAAAATCCTGAATTTGTTTTAATCTCTGTCACCAAGTTGCTGATTCTTAGTAACTTTTATCTGAAATTAAAGTGATTGGTTTTGTAGTTCATTTATCCAGTATCAATTCAGTCACAAATGTTTAAGTCCAATATTATACATTATTTGAATACAATTCCAAAATAAATAGTCTGTATTAACATATAAAAGTTATACTTTACCCACATAATCGCTGAGTTTTACTTTTTTACTTCTTATTAATAGTCCTTCTTCTACCAACTCTTGGTAAAGAGAATCAATGGTCCTATACATAAATAAAGAGAAAGCTACACAACCATATCTGTAGACAAAGGCATATTCTTGGTGGTCTCTGCAGGTATTTCAATGGAATTAGCACTGATGGTGTTGCCTAATCAAGTAATGAAATATGTGCAAGCAAACAACCAAGCTCAGAGAGCACCAAGGACTCCACAGTTCAACCCTGAATTATATTCTTCTATTGGAAAAAAAGCATATATTTTTTCTCATGTATTAGGTCTCCTTTAAATGTTCTTGCCTAAAAATATTTTTTATGCTTAATAGTATCTCATTCATAATTTTAATGAAAGTTTGCCATTACGTATTTACTGTCACTGCTATAGTTTTTCATCTGTTGGTGCTTAAATAGTATGAAATCAGACATATTTATTTAGTATTACTGTAGTATAAGCTAGTCCTCGACTTACTACCATACTTGAACCCAAACTTTCTGTTGTTAATTGAGATAGATGTAAGTGAATTTTGCCCCATTTTATGACCTTTCTTGCCACAGTTGTTAAGTGAACCACTGCAGTTGTTATATTAGAAACATGTTTGCTAAGTGAATCTGGCTTCCCAATTTCACTTTGCTTGTCAGAAAGTCACAAAAAGTAATCACATGATCCTGGGACACTGCAAACATCATAAATATGAATCAGTTGCCAGGTGTCTGAATTCTGATCATGTGACCATGGGGATGCTGCAATAGTTTTAAGTGTGAAAAACGGTCATAAGTCATATTTTTTCAGGGCCGGTGTAACTTCGAATGGTCACTAAATGAACTGTTGTAAGTTGAGGACTACCTGTATTGAAAAATGAAGCACTAAAGTCTTAGATATAGTGCAATCCTATGTATATTTAGTTCAGAACAATGGGTCAAACAGCAGAATCCAAATTATAATTCAGAATCAATAATTATTTCTTACATATGGAATAAGGTTTTTAAGTAAATATGTGATTCAAACTTCTGCCACATGCACATTTTCATATTATTGCAGGGCTATACTTAATATACTATTGCATTTCATTGCCAGAGTTTCTGAACTGTTTATTTTACTTTTTAGAAAGAAATTTTGAATTACAGACTTCTGGAAGCAACTCTGACATAATGTCTTTTCGAGTAAAGTATAAACATATAGCAGTGAATTATTTGTGAAAATGATCTATATGAATATTTTTATGTACTTCAAGGTAATGTTGGAAATACTGATGCAATGGGCGAGGGCTAAGAGTCTACTCATATTTTATATATCAGTAGGGTTTTTTTTGTAGAAAGTTGAATTTAACATTTGGCCCTATCATTTAGATGATTTGGAAAATTCAAAGGGAAATAACAGTGATGCTTTCGGTCCATAATTCCTACGTCGCTATCCAATATCCCATTTGGCACAAAGATCAAGCAGGACAACAAATGAAGGAGATCGGCCCAAAATTACCCATTCTAAATTCTAGTCTGCAATTAGACCATGGGAATAAAAGAGAAAATATATAGTTCTTATAGAAGAATTAGTTCATATCCTATTTCAAGTATCTTAAACGTAGATGGAAAACTCAGATATACATCTGAAACCACTAAATATTTCACATCTACTATAGGGAATAAAATTCAATGCATATTTGATACATATGAAGAAAACTTACAAACTATTGTACATTTAACCTAAAGTAAATTTTATGCAAATTGGACTTTCCTTATCTAAATTTCTTTCTGCATTATTAGACATTTAAAAACAATCTGGTATTAGATTCTCCATAATAGCCAACAAATCTGAGTTAATGTGTTTAAAGATTTATCAGTGTGAATCTCAGCAGAGCAACCGCAACTTTACCGGTCAGATGTCAGATCTTTATCCTTCTTTGACTTTTTCTTTCTTCCACCTTTTTTTCCTTTTTTCTTTTTCTAAAAATCACAAACAGAAATAACAGAATAACAGAGTTGGAAGTGACTTTGGAGGTTCTCTAGTCCAACTCCTTGCTCAAGTAGGAGAGTCTATACATTTCAAAAAAGGGGATGTCCAATCTCTTCTTACAAAAGCTCCAGTGATGGAGCATCCACAACTTCTGAAGGCAAGCCATTCCACTGATTAATTGTTCTAAGTCTGGAAATTTCTTCTTATTTCTTGGTTGGTACTCTCCTTGATTTATTTCCATCCACTGCTTCTTGTCCTGCTTTATACTTTGCAAAGTATACTTTGCAAAAATACTTTGCAAAGGCAGTACTTCTACACATGACAAAAGTTTTCATTCAAGTACAACTCTCTTTAATGAACTACGTCTTCATACAAATAAGTGTTTTTATTTTGTTTACATTTATTTCGTGTTCCCCAACTTCTGATACTGTATTACACTAAATCCATACTAAACAGTTACCTTTCCTTTTTTCCCAGTTTTCTCTGTCTCTCTATCCACGGCTAATTTTAGATTCTTCAGTTCCTGGCGCATTAACTCATCAACCTGTATAAGCGCATACAACAGAAGTAATAAGAAATACTGTGTAAAAAAAACTCCGCAACTAGAAAATACAAATGTTATGCTAAGAGTAAACACTCATATACAAACATCCAATTTTATTAGCATTTTTTGGAGGGAGAATTAGGCCTCTAATAATCTTCCCTCCAAAATAAACCATTATTATCAAAATAAAATGTTAAATTGGATATAGTAGGCATGCTCCAAGTTCCTATCCTTAACTCTTGCCATCTAGTGGAATCTGCTGTCCCTCTGCTGCTTTATGGAACACCTGTCCTGTGGATTTGGTGGGCCCCTACCCTTTTAGCCTTTTAGAAGGCCACGAAGACTTGATTACCTAGGCCAGTGATGGCAAACCTTTTAGAGACTGAGTGCCCAAACTGCAACCCAAAACCCACTTATGCATCGTCGAGTGCCGGGTGGGTGTGGTCCATTGGCTAGGTGTGGCCCATTGGGTGGGCGTGGCTGCAGTGATAATGGCAGGCTGGGTGGGACTAAAAAGTTCAATCAATCAATTCCAACTTTGCAAGATCTTTTTTTTTCCTGCGAGAAGTTGAAATTGACTGATTGAACCTTCTTTTTTTTTGCACACGGCGGCAGAGGCTTAAAGCGAAAAGGTTTTATAAAACCCAGCTGAAGGCCTAGGATTGGGGCGATAGTGCGCGTGCCCACAGAGAGGGCTCTGAGTGCCACCTCTGGCACCCATGCCATAGGTTCGCCACCACTGACCTAGGCACTGGGGCAGAATGAGGATGTCTGGAGTTAATTATAGAGCATCCCAAAGGGATAATTGAGGTGATGGGTTTTGTTTCGTTTTTAGGGTTTTTATGGTTCTGGGTTTTGTTGTGAACTGCCCAGAATTAAGTTTTCATATGGGCAGCCATATAAGCCTTTTAAACAAACAAGTAAATAAACAAACTGTGGCTGGATAAGCACTACCTCTGAAGGAGCAGTTTTGCAATTTGGAAGGCTTTTTGGACTCTTGGCTCCTGCTCAAGCAGGTGGAAGCTGTGAATAGAGGGACAATTACTTCATCTGGTGCAAGATAATTCATTACTACTGCACTGCTATTCATTTGGCTATAATAATTCAATACCACTACAAGGTATTTTATATAGAACTGCCTTTAAAGAATTATAGGAAACTGTAGTTAGCTCACAGTGCAGTAACTCCTATGATAACTAGTCCCCTGATGCTGAGTGCAGGTTACTTCTATGTTATGGGCATTGCATTGATAACTAGTTAGTTTCTGTGTACAATTTAAAGTGTAAATTTGACTTATAAAGCCATATCTGACCCATGCTTATAAGGGCAGATGAGTATTTGTAAAACTGGCTTGATCCATCTGTTCACCTTAAGAGAAATTAATCTTAGTTCCCCACTTCCAGGAAATAAAGAGACTTGAGGCTAAGAGGGGCCACTTTTCAGTGGCAACTTCAATTCTCTGCAAGAGTCCCCCAGTAGAGATCACATTGGCCCCCTCCCTTTTGGTATTCAGGAGGTTACTAAGACAGAACTGTTTTGTAGGGCATTTTAACTAGCTAGGGAGCTTTAACTTTTATGTTTACATTATTGTTATTTCTTATATTTATCTTAGTTTATTTGGATTTTATGGTTCTTTTTTCTTTTCAGTTTTTTTACTGCATTTGAAGACTTATCATTGATGACTTAATGTTTCTTATATTATGTAAACCACCAAGAGTTGCTTCACTAGTGGTGAGACAGATATGGAATAAATAAATATCGTGCTTGATGTGAATTTTAGATTGCAGCATTAAAAGTACTGTATCACTTATCTTGGAGGAGCCACTTGAAACAACTACTAAATTGTTGGAGAGAATAGAAAAGTTTGGAGAAGTGGCGGGTTTGAAAATAAATAAAGAAAAGACTAACGTATTAACAAAGAATTTAACAGATAAACAGAAAAGTCAACTTAGAAAAAAGACAAATCTACAAATAGTTAAAAAAGTTAAATACTTAGGAATCTACCTAACAACAAGATGTGCAACATTAAAAAAAGACAACTATGAAAGATTGTTAAAACAAATAAAACTGGACTTAGAAAAATGGAAAAATCTTCAACTGTCATTGCTAGGAAGAATAGCTACAGTGAAAATGAATATTTTACCGAAAATACTCTTCTTATTCCAAACGATTCCTGTAAAACTGGGAAAGGGCTTTTTTGATGACCTAAACGCAACAATATTGAGATTTATTTGGCAAGGGAAAAAAGCACGAATTAAAGTGAAAATGCTACAAGAAGCTAAAGATAGTGGAGGATTTGGACTCCCGGACTGGAGACTATATTGTCAAAGCTGTGCCGACACTCTGTTCATATGATTAAAGACTTTTTAGAATAAACAATGCCTGGAAGTTCTTTGAAGTGTTCCATTAGTCGGAACCTTGACACTATACTATCAAGAAGCTATTTTACCATGGCTTAAAGAATGGATAACGCTGAGAAACAAAACATTATTGTACCTAGAGGGGCATGATCTACAAATTGGTTGGCATGGCTTCCTATGGTACGGGAAGAATAAAACACACAGATATTTCCAAAACCATTTCATAAGGAATGTTCTTCTTTTAGAATGGGAAAGAATAAAAGAGAAAATTTATATCAAGCTACCTGTATGGCTTTCAACAATGGAAGCTTTTGCTTACCCAAATTTAGTTAACTATGACAAAGTCGTGACTTATAAAGATATCTTGGAAGACGAAAGAAAATTGAAAGACAGACAAGATTTACAGCGACAAGGTATTGATTTACCATGGTTACAAATTGATTTACCATATTTACAAATTCAAACGAGATATGAAAAAGATGTAAAGATAACGGGATTTTATAAAGAACAGACAAAATTTGATCAAATATTGTTAAAAACAGATGAAAACTTGATTAAGAAACTCTATAGATTTCTGCTAAATTTAAAGATGGAAGAAGAACAAGTAAAAGAAACAATGATAGCATGGGCAAAAAAATTTGGGCATTCTATAGATTTGGAAGACTGGCAAAAACTATGGGATAGAAATATTAAATTGACTAAAGCAGTCTCATGTAAAGAAAATTTGTATAAAATGTTTTACAGATGGCATATGACACCAGTAAGATTAGCGAAAATGTTTAAAAATACTTCAAATAATTGCTGGAAATTTATTTATTTATTTATTTATTTTATTTTTTAAATTTATATCCCGCCCTTCTCCTTGCGGACTCAGGGCGGCTAACAACCGGATAAAAATACAAAAATACAAAAATATCAAACTACAAATTTAAAATTAATTAAAAGGGAAATATTCATAATTGGTCTAATTAAAATTATAATGAAAACCCCCTCTAAAAGTTTTCCCCTAGGCCAGTCCCGCAAGCTGGAATAACCATGTCTTAAGGGCGCGGCGGAAGGAAGGGAGATCAGGGATCACCCTGATCTCTGGGGGTAGTTCATTCCAGAGGGTGGGAGCTCCCACAGAGAAGGCCCTCCCCCTTGGGGTCACCAGCCGGCACTGTCTGGCTGACGGTACCCTGAGGAGACCCACTCTGTGGGAGCGTACAGGTCGATGGGGGGTAATCTGCGGCAGGAGGCGGTCTCGGAGATATCCGGGTCCGATGCCATGGAGCGCTTTAAAGATGATGGTCAGNACGAGTCCCTCCCAACACCGCCCGCGCGGCCGCATTTTGGACTAGCTGGAGCCTCCGGGTGCTCCTCAAGGGGAGCCCCATGTAGAGAGCATTGCAGTAGTCCAGGCGGGAGGTGACAAGGGCATGAGTGACTGTGCGCAGGGCGTCCCGGTCCAGAAAAGGTCGCAACTGGTGAATCAGGCGAACCTGATAAAACGCCAGGTACTTACTATCATATCTGGTGGACATGTTCTAAAGCAAAAAGGTTTTGGGGTAAGATACATACATGGTTGGAAAAATGATTAAAAGACAGATAGAATTTAAACCAGAACTATTTTTGTTAGGAATATTAGGACCTAACTATGAGAAGGAGAATTAATATTTAATATTGCATATACTGACAGCAGCGAGAATAGTATTTGCCCAATATTGAAAAAATGAAATTAAAACTGAAGAGGTTTTAATTAAGAAAATCTTAGAATGTGCAAAAATGGATAGATTGACTTTAGAGATTAAAGAGAAAGAGGATTCAGTTTACTTTAGAACATGGAATTTTTACCAATGGTTAGGAAAACGAACTAGTGAGAAATGAATGTGATATGTTATTTTGAATATATATTAGTAAGAAGAATGATATGCGTTAACTGATTGATACTGTTTATGATTATCATTTATTACACTTACTACAGTTACTTATTACTATATCAACTATTGTTAATGAACATATGTACCCAGACAATAATCTGTTTGCTAAAGATTGAAAATGTTATTGGGGGATAACCCCAATGTTGACCCCAACCCCCTCCCAAGACCAATCCTGATCCCAACCCCACCCTAAACCTTAATCCTTATTCCGATCCTATTCTATCCCCAACCCTATAAAACTCAATTATTTTTTTTAAAAGTACTGTATCACCATCCAGGACTGAAGCTTGGGCTCTTAGGAGACTCTAGCACCTTGATGCTATAAACACATGTAGCAATTGTTTGGTTTGAAGACCACACCAATTCCAAACAAGTAATATACTGCATATATGTGACCCTCTATATACACTTTCGCATTCATGCACACTATTCATAAAATATATTTTTTTAAACTACTGCCTATGACACACACACATGCAGGGATCAGATCACTAGCGCTCCACAATCCTTTTTCTGCAGGTGAACCAAAAATATTGATCCAGCAGAAAATATGGAATTCACCATTCTAAAGTAGGCACAAAGTGGATTACAGAACACATGTAAGAAAGCTGTTGTGCTACAATAATTCAGAATCTGATTCATACATTGGGAAATCTGCTTTGAATCTTCTGCCAGAAACATACTAGGTGGTTTTTTCAACTTCAGAGTCCTGGAATTTCCTGGTGGCTTCTTATCCAGGAATTGACCAGGTCTGACCCTTATTAGCTTTCATGTGGTCAGCTAAGATCAGTTATGCTAAATGGCCAAAATGCTGCACTTTCCAGAAACTTTTTTAGAAGGTTACAGTAAATACACAAGAACACAAATCTGTAGCATAAACAGTATACTGTATTTCACTCTACCAATCAAGGTTTCCATGAACTCATTCTCATGACAGAGCAGACCAGAAATTATGCATACACAACAAATTATGCTACTAAATACTAACAGTTATGATTATAATTATAAAGGAAAGTCTATCCAGGGTCTTTAAAAAACTAAAACTGAAACTTCCTTTTATTACTTTAGATCTAACATGATATCAGAAGGAATTGGAAACAATGAAAAATTTTCACAATGTCAGCAACTCATATCAAAACTTATTTTATTTATTTATTTATTTATTAAACAAATGTACAGGTAGTCCATGACTTACTACAGCTTGTTTAGTGACTGTTCAAAGTTACAATGCCTCTGAAAAAAGTGACTTTCAGTTATGACCTTGTGATCATCCCCATGATCAAAATACAAATGCTTGGCAACTGGTTCATATTTATGACCACTGCTGTGTCCCAACCTTTTGTAACATTCTGACAAGCAAAGTCAATGGGGAAGCCAGATTCACTTAACAACCGGATTACGAACTTATCAACTGCAGCGATTCACTTAACAATTAAGCCAACAAAAGTTGTAAAATGGGACAAAAGTCACTTAACAAGTGTCTCACTTAACAACAGAAATGTTGGGGTCAATTGTGGTCATAAGCTAAGGACTCCCTGTATATAGATTTTATATTTATATAGAAACCACCTGCTTTTTTCTGTAAAACAAGGAATTTCCAGATAGCATCATATCAATCACTTTGTAGCACAGGTTTCAAAGATAAAGGCAGGCTGATGTTAAATGATAAAATACATATTCCTGATAAGTTTTACTTTTGTATAGGAATTCTCTTTGATTACAGCCATTTTTTTCTCTTTTAAATGGGCTACTAGGATGAAGTCACCTGAACTCTGATCTCTTCTTCCACTTCTTTCCTTTTTTCTTCTTTGATTAGTTCTGGATCATACTCTTGTGAAAAGTTCCATTTTTCATCTCTATTCTTCCAAACATCTGTCACCCAAGAAAAGAAAAAGAATGAGAAAGGAATGGGTGCTTGTTTTTTAAAATAAGTCTTATAGCATAGCAAAATTTGTATTTCTGATTCTGGTAACTAAATTCATTACATTAATCAAGTTTTAATGATTTTTTGAAATGGAAAATTAACTGTAATTAATGAAGCCTTAAAGCTCAATTATGGCTACAGGTTAAGCAATGCCCACTGTAGACTCTTTATCCTGCTTCTGCAAAGAGTTCAGATATTTGAAAGTAGATAAGGATAGGAAAACATTTTTGAAATGAAAGCTGCATTAGGTGGCAAAATGTATATGTCATCTCCAATGCATGTAACTGTAATCTAATTAAAAGTACATATATGTAGGTGGGTTACATATTCTAATTTTATTATGCATGTAAGTTATTTTGAATTTTCTCCCAGTTAATTATATACTCAAAATAACCTGTTGATGTTGTTGGTGATGATAACTGGAGTGTTTCTTTGTTATATAATACGTCATACACAATAGGCAATTGAATTTACTGATGGATCCTTTGACTGGCATGTGAAAAACAAGCATTCTTCTATGAGGCCTATTGAGAAATGTATTTCTCATGTCTCTATCTCCCTTTCCATTACAACAGACATGCATGAAAGCATCTTTTGATATTCCTATCTAAATTTAAAAAAAACCCTATACTGGCATTTTCTTAATTGATAATACAAGCATCCAATGAAATTTTATGGGCTTTTATAGCTGTGCACAATCTCTAAGTGTTACATGAATCAATTGGAAATTTCTACAGTATTGCTCTCCAAGTATTTAATAATACCATGATTACATCGTTATTAGCACACCCCGGTTTTCATTTAAATCCCACAAAATTAGCTCCTTCTCTACCATGATGTCTACAGATAAACTGAATCTTTTGATGAAGCAATACCATGCCACATCCTGTAAAAAATCTCTGAAATCCTCAGACATACATTTGAAACGTAAACCTTTGAAATGCTATTTAAAAAATTATAGCAAAGCACGAGTCTCACTCCTGGAAGCTAATTTTCAATCTATACCATCTATATTTGGGGATTATTGTTTACATATCTGATTATGTTATAAGATGGCGGCGCCTGGATCAGCTGCGGCTGCATTGGCTCTCGAAGGTGAAGAGTTATGGGAGGGATATTAAGGGATATAGGCCACATGATCAGGAAGGTTTTAATGTGTTTGAGAAATTTGGTGGAACTAAAGTAACATACAACATACGACTGACAATCTTTGCTGGCATGGCGAGTTTCTAGCTGTTTTGGAATTGTTGGTGAGACCATTAAAAGTCGTTGGTGCTGTTTGAAATTGTTCTGCCGGCAGCAAGATCTGACTGCTGGCCCAGCGACGGATTCTATTGCAAATAAGGGCTGTTTCCAAAGGAGGCAGAGGAGGAGAGGTCCCGGGGCTTATGGAGCGAAGGAATTGGATGAGGCTGTCAGCAGGCCCAGAGGATGGGAGAGAGGCTTTTGGAGGAGTTGGTGGCGGCGGCAGCGTTCTCCAGGGGCGAAAAGGAGTGAGGCCTCTTTAAGGAAAAGGTGGAAGAGACAAGATTAGAAAAAGAAAAGGAGGCGAGATTGTTGTGCAGGAATACAAGCTAATTTGAGGGATAATCCACATGGAGCTCCATTTCCATCTGTCCTGTTTGCCATCGTTCGCTCCCTAGAGACTAAAATGGAAGATCTGTAACTTGAGCTGGCCACGAACAAAGAGTGTATATCGGAGGTGGTGGCCCTTTGAGAGCTGTATGCAACGAAATTTCATTTTGATGTATGCCAATTGGTGTACTTTCAAAGTGACAATAAAGTTGCTGTTGTTGTTATTATTATTAAAAATGGACCAGCAAAATTTGTTTTATGTCATCTCTTAAAGTTAACATTGACCTTACAAATTTCTCTTTGATTCAGCCAAGCAGGTGAGGCATGTTTTCAGTCTTAGGTATCCATATGTTAATATTTAACAAACAGCACACAAAAAACATAAACTGCCTAAATATTCACCATATAAACAATAGCTGTTTCAGTTTCTCTCTACTTGCCTTTGTATTTGTTGTTTCCTTCTTCCATTATTGGGAGAAAATTACTTGGGGACATTTTCCAACCTTCCTCTTCTTCCTTAATGAATAATATAAAATAGTGCTAGAACTGATTTAGGAATTTATAAATTTATAAATACATTTTCAGATCTAAGCTGCTTGGTTTTAAAGAACAGTTGGTAGTATTGATCCCTATATTTGCATGAATGAGAAATTATTTCTCTGATTCCAGGCATTGTGTTATACTTTAATCTCTTTATTCTGTATTTCATTAAGAGAGGTTCACTCTAAATATTTGGGTATAGATATTGGGTATAATATTTGGGTACAGGGGAAAGTTTTTCTTTGTATGGCTGTAAGCAAATTGGTTTCTTCCCAAGCTGTCTTTCTCCTGCAGTTGCTCACATTTTCAGTGTTTAAAAGTGTGCAGAAAACTGCAATCAGGGATCCCACCGTTACTGGAGTATTAATTAGAAAATCCATATAGCTAGCAGATTTTGCTAAGTGAAAAGCATCAGACTTCCTATTGTTTGAAATGATATAGCAATGTCTAGCCTGTTCTGCTTCTATTAATTGCAACTGAGTGGATGAAGGTAACAAGCTGGAGTGTCTGATAGAACCACTGTTCCCAATAGCCCCATCCCAGAATCCCTAAAAAGATAGGGAGGCATCCCGATGCTTATTCATCTCATTACATATTTATATTACTTGGCTTAAAGAAAGGCCTCTGTAACATTTTTATTAGTAATATTTAAAATCTTATTTATAAAAGATATGTTGATACTGTTTCTAAATCATCCTAAAAATAGTTTCCTTGTCCAGCTGTGTCTGATTCTAGGGCGCAGTGCTCCAATTCTTGGCCAAGGGAGCCAACGTTATCCAAAGACATTTTCCGTAGTCATGTGGCTAGTATAGCTACATGCCAAAGGAGCATATGTAACCTTCCCACCAAAGTGGTACTAATCTACTTGTATTTGCATCCTTTCAAACTGCTAGGTGGGCAGGAGCTTGGCAGGAACGGAATGGGAGCTCACCCCATTGCATGGCATTCGGGTCTCAAACCTGGGCTGTCAGCTTTCCAGCTGACAAAGTCAATGTCTTTAACCGCTAAGCCATCGCACCCCCTAGCATAAATTATTAAATTAATAATTTGATTAAATATAATTATTATGATAATTATAATAATACATTTTAAAATTTAATTTTATTAAATTAAATTCTATCACACTAGTAGAATTTATATGCAGAAAAACATTTATCTGTATAAATTTTCAGGGATTCTGCCAATCTGGTAAAAGGAATTGGAGAATGATATAAAATGGTTCTTACTTCTGCACTGAATTAATTTCTCAGTGCTCCTGGGACTCGGGTGAGACAAATATGCAATAATGTCTTTTCTTAATTTTAATGTGATCTAACTGGCCAAGTGAGAGAGAACTGAGATTAGGCAGGTGCTCCTATAACTTCCTTAGCCATTAAAGCAGGAAATATGCTGATTCGTCCTCAGTTGAGTCTTTTGGCATCATATCTTGATTTCTTCTTTTTTTTCATTCTATGCCACCTTATACAGGCTTGTTTGATCAAATCAAATATTTATTATGGTGATAAAGCAGCATCAATTTATGTTTTAGTTTTAATGTATCATGAGGAGCTTGGAAGAAGCTGCATAAAAGCTTCAAGTAAGTTACATGCACCCATGAAAAGGCATCATTGACAACCTGAAAACTTTATTAGCAAGATTTAGCAAGTTCTTGGAGTGCTTCAGAAAGTTTCAAGTTTATTTATTAATTACATTTACACTTAACCTGTTCTCTAAGGTGCTCAAGGCAGTCACCTCTTGTTTGATCTTCAAAACAACAATCTTGTGATTTGGAGAAAAGGCCTGGCTCAAAGCCACAGTAACTTCCATTGTGGCTTAGTGGAATTGTACCTGGGTCACTATGGGGCTGATTCAACCATCTAATTCAGTGGTTCTCAACCTTTTTAATGCCGCGACCCCAACCGGTCGTAGGTTGAGGACTAAACCAGTCGTAAGTCGAGGACTAAACCGGTCGTAAGTCGAGGACTAAACCAGTCATAAGTCGAGGACTACCCAACCGGTCGTAAGTCGAGGACTTTCCCTGCCCGGGAGCACTGCGCATGCGTGGTTCCGCCCCCTGTGCCGGCCGAGGCGTAGCTGGCAAGTGGCAGAGACGGAGCAGGCCGACCACCAGCTGGCCCAGCCCAAGGGAGGTAAGGCACCCACCGGAAAAGGGGGAAAAAATGGCGGACAAAAAAAATGGCGGACAAAAAAATGGCGGACAGCCTTGCTTGCCGACCCCCGTGAAATGGTCGATCGACCCCAAATGGGGTCCCGACCCACAGGTTGAGAACCACTGATCTAATTACTATATCACACTCACCCCAGTTGGTTTTTTTTCTGATATATTTTTCTTCTAGAAATGTTTAAACTATTATTCTCTCACCATGCCAAAATTCTGGTTAAGTTTTTGAGAACAAATTGTTCATAATCGAACCAAAACATAAGTTAAAACAAAACTCTTAAATTTCTTATCCATGGAATTTAATTTAGCCATAAATTGATATGAATCTATTCTTCATTTTTATTGTCTATTTCATTCTTACAATTCAAACTATTTAGAATATACATTAACACTGCAGATCAAACCTGCTTCTTATAACATGTTAAACAAATGTGACTTATAATCTTATATATAATTTGCAACCTTTTTATGCACACAAAGCAATCAAATATTAGAAAAGCTGTGTGAGATGTGGAATTGGCTTGGTTGAACCCCTAAGAATTTGTAGTGTTCTGAAGGTAAGGAATAACTAGATTAAAAACATTGCACCATGTTCCATATTACATACATACTATACATACGTACCTATATACATATACATACACAGGCACAAACACACTGTCAATGCTGTGACAATGGATGTCGTCGCTCTGACAACTGAGAATCAGCAGCCATTTTTACTTTTGCTTCTAGTGTGCCTTTCCTATTCTTTTAGAGTTCAGATGTAGAAAGGGGGATGGGGTAAATGCTAGAGGGTTTAGCTAACCATAACAATGTAGAAGTGTGGGAACTCAAGGACATGGTTTGATAAGGTTTGGGCGGGCTGAGGGGCCGTGAGAAAAGCCCGCATCTTACATTAATTGGGGAATGTGATTTATGACAGCATTTGTGGGATGAGAATTGCAACTTGTTACTTTGTATCTGGGGGGAAGGAATCTCAGTTTTGGGTTCAATTATGTAAGTGCCGATACTTTGTTTCCTAATAAAATGTTCTTTAAGGAAGAATTCTTGCCTTGAAGTTCTTTTACTGGTTTCATCTATCGGAACCATGACGTTAACCCAAAACTTCCTTTTTCTTTAAAATTACGGGGTCCTGAGTGCCAGTCACTGACCCAAAGTAGAAGGGAGGCTGACAAAGACTCGGGGAAGATCCCAATATGGAGAAGGAGAACCCTGGTATCAGCACCACAGTCACAGATGGTACATCGGCAGATGGAGCGCAGGCCATCGCACTGGTTGAAAGCACTGTCTCGGATGCTTCAACGACGGGGGCAAGACCAAAGACCTCATCTGGTTGTCTAAGTGGAGACTCCCTGCCTAGTGGAGACCCTAAGCAATCAGAAACGAGCCAGTTGAAGAGGGATTCTTCTAAAGCAATGGAGACCGAATACTTGCTGCCAGCTCCCCAAAGAACACACTCTCCTGATAGACAAGGGGCGAAGAGAACGGCACCGTCGGACGACTCAGGTAATTGGAAGTACCTGACTGCAGTCCGGAGCCAGTCGATTGAGCACCTTAGGGAGATATTTGAAGGGCTGGAGGTGGGAACCAAGGAGCATGCCACCCATCCACTGCCTACCAGCAAAAAGGAGGATGATCAAGGCAGGGGCAGCTCCTCGACCAGAAGTCCTAGTCCCATGCTAGGGGCCAGAGCTCCCTCCCCACCTTCACAATCACTGACATTAGCCTCAAGCCCCGTGCAAGAGAGAAGTCCGGACCATCAGAGGCACCAAGCCAGTCCCGATCGTCACTGACAATCATCGAGTCCAGCCTGTCACCGTCGATGTGACAGCCCTGGTCGCCAAGAAAGGTATGTTATCTATGAGCGACATTGCTCCCCTGAAAGCCCCGATTGCTACCCATGTTACCGCAGCCCCGACTGTCCCCGACTATCACTTGATACTTACCCTTGTCATCATGCCAGTCCCGGACCCCTTCCCAGGGCTGAACGAGAAAGAGATCTCCAACATGACCTGATGCAGCATTATGAGCAAATGCATGATCTACTAGACCGACAGCAATGCATGGCTGTTCCACCCCTGAAAGCTACGTTCAATGGAGACCCTGAAAAGTTAACTTTCTTTTTGAATCAAGAGCGTTCTTATGTGAACCGCAATGTCGATGCCTATCCAGACCCGGTGGCGATGGATGATGTTATCGCAGCTAACCTGGAAGGAGAGGCTGCCGAGGGGCTCAATAGTCTGTACAATGAGCAAGCACCTGAATTATGGAATTTCAACTTATTCGTCCGAGGATTGAGAACCCAATTTGAAGACAACTCTATAGCCTTAAGAAGAGAGAAAGACATTCATGCAGTGAAGCAAGCTGGCAGACCGGCGATGGATTATGTGTGTGAGTTCAGAAGAGTCACAGGCCTTATTGAACAGTGGCCAGAATGATCCCTGGTGCACCATTTTAAAGAGGGTTTGGATGACGACTTATTCAAGGCCTGCATCTACTGGGGAATTCCTGACTGCTTACAAGAATAGTACCAGATAGCAGTAAAGATAGACATCGAGCTTACCTGTCGGAAAAAGTCGGCAGCTCCCGGACCGGCTCCAAGACCAGAGCCTGCCAGACGACCGCCTCCCCATCAACCTCCAGCGATACAGCCTCCCCGCCAGCTTCATGCAATAAAAGCAGCTGAATCTCGCAGGTCCCCGCTAGCATCACTGATCAAATGCTTCAGGTGTGGCCAGCAGGAACAGCGAGCGGCAAATTGTCTGGTCCCGTATCCCCAGCAGAGAGGTAAATCGGGACCTCCAGAGAGAAAGAAACCCGCTCAGCAGCCAAAAAGAAAAGACAAGCTGGGTCACCTAGGAGCTCGTCACCCAGGTCGCATCACCTATGCAGGAGAGAGTGGAAACTCCAGCCGGATCCACCACCACTCTGGCTTCATACGACAGCGACGATGAGGGAGAAAATGACCCGATGGTGAGTCAACCCATTCCACCTTTTTTCCCTTGCTGCCAAGCTCATAGTCCCTAAGACAGGGGTACAAATGGATTTAAAGGTGCTAGTGGACTCAGGATGCTCCCGATGCATTATCAGCTTGCCAATTGCCCTTAAACTGGGCATACGAGCAAGGTTACTCTCCAAATCTACGAGATTTGAACAAGTGGATGGATCTTTCATGGGAGGGACCTTAGTAACCCACTTAACTGAACCGGTACATTTAGAAATAGGTGAACATTGGGAGCTCATCCGTTTTGTGGGGCCCCAAAAATGACTGAAGCTATGATTTTAGGTCTACCGTGGCTAGACAAGTGGGAAAAGGGGATGAGGACTGTGAGATTGCCAGTAGGACCCAACCCCCCTCGTTAGCGGAGAGCCTAGTCCACAGCTGAAACAGTGAAAGTAGCCACCATTCCCCTGCCAGGGGAGCCACTCATCCCCGGGGAATACCGAGATTTAGCGGAAGCATTTAGTGAGAAGGAATGTGAACTCCTACCAACGCACCGGCCAAATGACTGTGCCATTGGTTTAGGAGCCAAACTGCCTAAACCAAAAATGTACGCTATGTCTCCCCTCGAGATGGAGGAGCTGTAGCAGTATGTGAATAAAAACCTAGCCAGAGGCTTCATTGAGCCAGGTAAATCCCAGGTAGGGGTCCCGGTGTTATTCAAGGAAAAGATGGGTCGCTGAGGCTCTGCATGGATTATAAGGGGTTAAACGCTGTGAGTGTGGAGAATAATTACCCCCTCCCCCTCCTGAAGGACCTACTAATCCATCTAGCATAGGGCCTTATCTTCACCAAGTTAGATCTAAGAGAAGCGTACTACCAAGTAAGGATAAAAGGAGATGAATGGAAAACTGCTTTTAACTCTCCTATGGGCAGCTATCAATTCAAAGTTATGCCATTTGGACTACAAGGAGCTCCAGCTGTTTTCATACAGCTGATTAACCAGGTGCTGCACGGCCATCTATACAAAGAAGTTTTGGTGTATCTTGATGATATCTTAATCTATAGCAAGAATATGGCTGACCATGTGAATTTAGTGCAAGAGGTACTAAAGAAACTACTAGATGCTAAATTGTATGTTAAATTATCAGTGTGAATTCCACCGAACTCGACCGGATCTCCAGTGAGGGCATAGAGATGGATCCTGGCAAAGTGAAAGCCGTAATTGAATGGCAACCCCCAACGACTCGAAAGCAGCTTCAAAGCTTCTGGGATTTGCAAACTTCTATTGTCAATTCATTCCTTCTTTTGCTGAAATTGCTTTACCTCTAACAGACTTATTAGAAATGGGGGAAAGCCACAACCGTGCCAATCGCTAACATGGACTATGAGCTGTCAAACCGTTTTTGAGAATTTAAAAAGACTTTTTGCGGCCGAGCCGAGCTTAAAGCACCCCTGCCCAGGGGAACCATTTATGATTCAAGCCGATGCTAGTGATGTGGCAGTCGGAGCAGTACTTTTGCAAAAGAATAATAAGGAGGTCTTACAACCCTGTGCCTACACATCAAAAAAATTCACCGATTGCGAGAGGAGGTGGGCAGTTTGGAAGAAAGAGGCTTTTGCAATTTGTTGGGTTCTGTTAACCTGGCGGCACTACCTGGAAGGGAGCAAGGTGCCTTTCGAAGTATGGACTGATCACAAAAACCTAGAGGCACTGAAAACTCCTCGCAAACTTTCCCCCAAACAGGTACGATGGGCGCAATACGTCAATCGATTTAACTTCACCCTAAAGTACATACTGGGGGGGGGAGAACATTTTGGCTGATGCTCTGTCCAGATTGCCTCAGTATAAAAGCCAGCGTGAACAGGTCAATGATTCGATCATGCCTACGGCACAGATTATTTCTCAATTAATACCACAGAAAACCCCGTCTACGGCAGATCCGAACCCAGATGACCCCGTGATGAGAAAGCTGAAGCACAAACTCCTCCATGATCAATGGTTTAAAAACCATCACACCACCCTAATCTGCAGAGATGGACTAGCTTACAAGGGGGAAATTATATTTGCCAGAAACCCTCCGCCTCTATGTGCTTCAACACAGCCATGATATAAAACAAGCTGGACACTTTGGCTATTTGAAAACACTACATTTAATTCGCCGGCAGTTTTGGTGGCCATGTTTGAAGAATGTGGAAAACTATATCAAAAGCTGTACGGTGTGTGCCACTATGAAAAGAATTCCAGGGAAGCGCCCTGGACTATTACAGCCTGTCGTAGACCCTTCCCAGCCATGGGAAGAAATCGCTATGGATTTTATAGTTGAGTTACCCGAAAGCAGAGGAAATACAGTAATATGGACTGTGATTGATCTTTTTTTGAAGCAGGCTCATTTCATCACCTACAAAGGACTCCCGTCAGCCCAACTAGCCAAAATGTTCCTTAAGCACATTTACAGACTGCATGGTGCACCAAAACGGATAATCTCTGACAGGGAGGTGCAATTCACAGCCAAGTTTTGGAGGATTTCCTGAAAATAATTGGCTCATCACAAGGACTGTCATCGGCTTTTCATCCATCTATGAATGGAGCGGCTGAAAAAGCAAACTCAATGGTGGAGCAGTACCTTAGGTGCTAGGTGGACTATCAACAAATGAACTGGACTGACCTCCTTCCTTTTGCTGAGGTGGCTTACATCAATACCATTCATAGCAGCACTGGTTTCATTCCTTTTAAGATTGCCACAGGAAAAGAATTCAACCCAATAGCTGAGTATCCTCGAGGACCCTTTACCTCCCAGACTCTTGACCAATGGATGTCAAAATGGGAGGAGGTTTGGGACAAAACAAAAACAGCACTGAAAAGAGCCTCAGAAACATATAAAAAACAAGCTGCTAAAAAGCGATCTCCCCAGAGATCTTTCCATGTTGGGGAAAAGGTTTATTTATTCACAAAATATCTATGACTGAAGTTGCCTAGTAAAAAGTTGGGACCAAAATACCTAGGTCCCTTCCCTATTGTCAGAATCATAAATCCAGTTCAGTGGAGTTGAAACTCCCATGACTTTTAAAGAAGATTCACCCTGTATTTCAGTGCAGTTTATTAAAACCATTCAAGGGTTCTACTTTACAACCTCCTCCCAAGAAAGCACCTGGTCCCCTAGAAATAGCTGGACAAACACATTGTGAAGTAATTCTTGATTCTAGGATTTTTAAAGGAAAATTGCAATATTTAGTTCAGTGGAAGGGATATCCATTATCAGAGGCCATATGGGTGAAATCCAATGATGTGAAAGCTAATAGGCTCATCCGTAAATTCTATGACGAACACCCCAACAAGCCAAGGGGCAATGCTTAACCTATGGTTCTGTTTAAATCGCAGGATTACATCTTTCTGTTAAGAGGGGCCAGATGTCAACGCTGTGACAACGAATGTCGTCGCTCTGACAACTGAGAATCAGCAGCCATTTTTACTTTTGCTTCTAGCGTGCCTTTCCTATTCTTTTAGAGTTCAGATGTAGAAGGGTGGATGGGGTAAATGCTAGAGGGTTTAGCTAGCCATAACAATGTAGAAGTGTGGGAACTCAATGACATGACCTGATAAGGTGTTGGCGGGCTGAGGGGCCGGTGAGAAAATCCCGCATCTTGCGTTAATTGGGGAATGTGATTTAGGAATTGCAACCTGTTACTTTGTATCTGGGGGGAGGGAATCTCAGTTTTGGGTTGAACTATGTAAGTGCCAATATTTTGTTTCCTAATAAAATGTTCTTTAAGGAAGAATTCTTGCCTTGAAGTTCTTTACCAGTTTCATCTATCGGAACCATCACACACATACACACACACACACGACATATAGTAATACTACATACTCGGGATTGGAGGAAACAGGCTACACTGAGTTTGAACCCTTTAGCACCATACATTATAGCACAGACAGTTTCAGAAGGGTGATAAAGAATGTCTAACTTCCAAACCGCTCTTAATGATTCTCGTCTTTCAGGCTGACCAGAGAGATATATGTATCTATAAAATTACAATATACAAAATAACCTCAAAACTCTATTACAGAATATTGTATTTACCATCTTTTTTCTGGATTTATATATGTTATGATTCAGAATGACTTGCCTCATCTTTCTTCTTTGGTTTCTTCTCTTCTGTCTCATTTCCTTTCTTCTTTGTTTTGCCCTTTCCTTTTTTTTCCTTTTTCCCTTTTTTCCCTTTGTTTTTCTGTTCTTCTTCTGCTTTAGCAGCTAGCTCAGCAGCAACCTGACAGAAACAATAATATCTGTTTTTTCCCTTTGTGTAAAGACAGATGCAAAAAACGAGTTAAATAGTTCTGCTTTCTCCCTATTGCTTGTCACCTTCTTGCCACTTTCACTCACTAATGGACCAATCATTTCCTTCACTTTTTCTTGTTTTTTACATGTTGAAAGAAGCTTTTTTTGTTATTTTTGACTTTGGTCGCAAGCCTTAGTTCATTATGAGCCTTAGTTTTCCTCACTTCACCTTTGCAGGCTCGGGCTATTTGCTGATATTCTGACTTAGTTATGTGCCCCTCTTTCCACTTTCTATACTTGTCCTTTTTATCTTTCAATTTATCAGAGAGTTCTTTATGCAGCCATTCTGGTTTCTTTTAAGAGCTGTAATTTTTCCTCTTTGTTGGTATTGTTCTAGACTGGGCTTTTATTATCTCACTTTTCAGAATTTCCCAAGCTTCTTGAGTTTTTTTCCCCTTGAGGATTCTCATCCATGGAATACTTCCCAAGCCCTCTCTAAGTTTATTGAAGTTAGCTCTCTTGAAGTCCAGGGCTCTAGTGCTTGTGCTTCCATAATGTTGAATTCTAATATTGCATGATCACTTCCTCCCAAGGTTCCTGTGGCTTCAATACCTTATATCATTTCATCTCTGTTAGTGAGAATTAGATCCAAAATGGCTAATCCCCTAGATCCCTTCTCTACTTTTTGGGAGACAAAATTGTCTGCTAGGTTTGTCAGGAATCTCTTTGATCTTCCACTTGGTGCAGAGTTTGTCTCCCAGTTGATGTCAGGGTAGTTAAAGTCCCCCATTACTATTGTGATGTGCTTCCTACATACCTTAGTTAGCTGATTAGAAAAAAGTTCATCTATTTCCTGTGTTTGGTTGGGTGGCCTATAGTATACACCTATGGCAATGTCATTTTTTCTCCCTTTTATATTGACCCAAATGCATTCAAGACAGTTTTCATCATTGTTGTGTTCTATTTCTGTGGAGATGTAGTTATTTCTTATATAGAGAGCAACTCCACCTCCTTTTATTTATTGCGAGCACTTCTTCGCAGTGGGGTCTATGTGTTACAGATCAATTTCTCTTCCCTGCTGCTGGAAGTTAGATTCAGTGAGCTTTTAAAAATAAATTTGTAGAAATATCTTACAGTTTTTTAATTTTGTTGTTTGCTATTATATATAATAAAATTTTGAGGATGGGTAGATAGCAGAAAGTACAAATCTAAGAATGAATAAACAACTTCAACCAACATTTTATATACTCTTGACAGAGACAAAGCACACCATTTCACTTTGTTTGATGTCCAGATAGAGGCCTTTTAGGCTGTATTCATAATGTACGCAAAGCCCACTGTCACCTGTCAGAGTGACAGAGACTGCTATAATAATCAATGAACTAATTATCTCTATCAGATCATTTTGTCTTTTATTTATTAATTTATTTATTTATCAAATTTATTTGTTGCCCATCTTGTGATTGTTTGCTATAAGTAGAATTCATTATTATAACATTCAATGTATAAGAAACAATTAATGCACTATAACATTGAACTAAAGGAAATTAGCAGTAGCAATTTGCTTGGGGATGCCTAAGTCATGAATCACTTGTTTACTTGCTTTTTAAAAAGACAGTAAAAACCATATACATTTATACTGAAATAAACTCTACCTCTTCTGGAGTTTTTTCTGAGAAAAGAACTGCTGAGCCACCTTGTTCTTCATCAGGATAATCAGGAAACTTTCCTGTAATATGCCTGTTTCAATAGAATAAAAATATAAAATTAAATGTACTTGGTAACTAATAGAAGAGAATATTTGTAGCTGACATTCTGTACATGTCAAGGGAGAGAAGAATTTCAACACTGCCTCTAACAGAAGACCTCACTGGAACAGACTGCCAAGATGAACACAGAAAACATAAAACTAACAAAATAGCTACCCACTATCTGTGGCTAGTCTGATGGCAGCCATAAGACACTAGCCAGTCCCATTAAAAGCATCCTGTCTGTTCCCACTCCCACTGCTATCCCTTGCCAAAGCCTAGAGATTAACAGCCACCAAAAAATCACGTTAACCTGCATCTGGCTATTGATACAGTTCTGCCGCAGCCCAGAAGTCCATTCATAGCTCAGTGCTCACTACCATTGCTTCCACTGCTACCCAGAAGAAGCTTACTAGTGTTGCCACAGTGTGGCTCAGAGCCTTAACCAGCTGAGCAGCAGAGCTGAGGCCACTGCCAAACAACTGATAAGTGGCACACCTGCACACCAAGCTCACCTAAAACTTCCACTACTATTCCAGCCACTCCAGGTAAAAACAGCAGCTCAGAGTCTACAGTTCCAGTAACTATACCTCTATAATAACACAACAAATTATGAAAATCTTCTCAAATTACATTTAGATTAATATAAAAGGAAAAACCAATAACATTACCATAGGTGTATACTAGACCACCCCAGCAGAGGAAATAGATGGAACATTTTGTTAATCAGCTAGCTAAGCTACATAAGAAGCACACCAAAGAGTAATGGTGGACTTTAACTATCCAGACATCAACTGGCAGACAATAGAAGATCAGACAGGTTCCTAACAAACCTGGCAGTAAACTTTATCTCCTAAAAGGTAGAAAAGGGAACTAGAGGGACAACAACACTGGACTTAATTTCACTAACAGATATGAAAGATGAAGCCACAGGAATTTTGGGGGAAAAGTGACCATATAATATTGGAATTCAACATTATGCAAGCACAAGCAATAGAACAAAGTTAAACTAGTGTCTTAGACTTTAAGAGAGCTGATTTCAACCAACATAGAAAGAGATTGGGAAGGAAAGGGGAAAACAACTCATGAAGCTTGGGAAAAATGAGATTATAAAAGTGCAGTCTAGCACAATACTACTGAAAAAGAGAAATAAGAGATCCCAGAAGAAACCAGCATGATTGCATAAAGAACTCTTTGATAAACTGAAAGACAAAAAGAGAACAAGTATAAAAAGTAAAAAGAGGAGCATATAACTAAGGCAGAATACCAGCATATAGCCTGAACCTGCAAAGGTGAAGTCAGGAAAGCTAAGACTCAGAATGAATTTAGGCTTGCAACAATGTCAATAATAATAATAATTCTTTTGACATGTAAAAAATAAGAAAAAAGTCAAGGAAATGATCAGTCCACTAATGGGAGAAAATGGCAAGGTGACAGACAGCAGGGAGAAAGTGGAGCTGCTTAATTCTTTCTTTCTGTCTTTACACAAAAAGAAAAATCAGTCCAACCTATCAAAAATATGAGTGAACAGTGTGCTGCAGCTGCCAACAAAGGAAACACAGTCCTAGGATGCATCAATAGAAGGATAGAGTTAAGGTCAAATGAAGTGTTAGTACTGCTTTATAATGCTCTTGTAAGACCATATTTGGAATACTGCATCCGGTTTGGTCCCCACGACACAAAAAAGATGTTGAGATTGTAGAAAGAATGTAGGGAAGATCAACAAAGATGAATAAGGGAGTGGAGGCTAAAACATATGAAGAACAGTTGCAGAAACTGGGTATGTCTAATCTAATGAAGAGAAGAAACAGGGGTGACATGATAGCAATCTTCCAATATCTAAGCGGCTGTTACAAAGAAGAGGGAGTTAACCTATTCTCCAAAGCACCTGAAGGCAGGACATGAAGTAACAGATGAAAACTTATCAAGGAGAGATCCAACCTAGAAGTAAGGAGAGATTTCCTGACAGTAAGAACAATCAACCAATGGAATGGCTTGCCTCCAGAAATTGTGGGTGCTCAGCACTGGAGGTTTTTAAGAAGAGATTGGACAACCATTTGTCTGGAATGATATAGGGCAGTGGTGGTGAACCTTTTAGAGACCGAGTGCCCAAACTGCAACCCAAAACCCACTTATTTATTGCAAAGTGTCAACACAGCAATTTAATCTGAATACTGAGGTTTTAGGGTTAGGGTTAGGGTTTACGTTAGGGTTAGGGTTTACATTAACATGTTTAGTCTTAAAAGAAAAACACAATAACAGAGCTTTCAATGATACAAACAACTTTTTATTGAAAGTTAAGTTTGCATTTGGCATGCTTTTGAACAATTAATGTGATTTTTGCTATTGTATGAGTGCTGATAATTTGTCTAACCTTGGCTCATACTTTGTAAGTTTGAGAGCAATACATGCAGCACTCAGGTTATCTGTTAGTTTGTTTCTGGTATCAGATTTGATATAATTCAAAACTGAAAACAGCTGCTCACAAGTATAAGATGATCCAAACAAAGTAAGGAAAACAATCCCAAGTGCTTTCATTGACTTAAAATTATTTGGCAGAGAATTCCACACTTTAAGGATTTCATTTTCAGAACTATGTGCTGTCCTTTGCAATCCCTTCTATCTTCTCAAGTTTTTCACGCAGGTCATACAATGTGTAGTGCACATTTCCCATACACAAAAGACGTGCAGACCTCGATCAGCCATACAAGCTCTCATTTTCCCATTAGCAGGACCCCAGGTTGGTTCCTATGGACAGCAGCCAATATAAAGTTCCCCCTGACAGTCCCAGTACAACTCCTGACATAATTTTCCACATCCCGTTTTAACCCCGGCCACCAGAACTGCCGGCGGATGAGATGTAGAGTTTTTAAATATCCAAAGTGTCCAGCCTGTTTTATGTCCTGGCTGTGTTTGAGAGCATTAAGACAGAGAATTTCTGGCAAGTACAATTTCCCCCCCTTCCAAGCCAAACCATCCCTGCATGTTAGGGAGGTTTGAGTGTCCTTGAACCACTGATCAGTGAGGAGCTCGTTTTATTTTCTTTGCTCCAGGGTCATCAGGATTAGGGGCCCTGCGAGTTGAGCAGCCATTTGTGGATTGGAGATAACAGTCTCTTCATGCTGGGTTTTGTACTGGGGCAGTCTGGATAGCGCATCAGCTAGGAAGTTTTTCCCTCCTGGAATGTACTTTAGAGTGAAGTTAAAACGATTAAAGTATTGTGCCCATCGCACCTGTTTCGTAGACAATTTACGGGGAGTTTTCAGTGCTTCTACATTTTTGTGATTTGTCCATACTTCAAAAGGCACCTTGCACCCTTCTAGATAGTGTCTCCAGTTTAATGGAGCCCATCTGATTGCGAAGGCCTCCTTTTCCCAAATCGTCCACCTCCTTTCACTCTAATTTTTTTCTAGGTGTAGGCGCAGGGTTGCAAGGCCCCACTTTGGTTCTTTGGCAGTAATACAGCTCCTATGGCTATGTCGCTGGTGTCGGCTTGAATTACAAAGGGCTCCCCTGGGCAGGGGTGCTTTAGGACCGGCTCAACAGCTAATAGTTTTTTAGATTCTCAAAAGCGGTTTGACAGCCCATAGTCCATGCTAGTGGTTGGCCTGGTCAAGGTTTCCCCCCTTCTTTGCCTGTTTTGAGTAGTTCTGTAAGGGGTAGGGCAATCTCAGCAAAAGAGGGGATGAATTGACAGTAGAAGTTGGCAAAGCCTAGGAAGCTCTGGAGCTGTTTGCGAATCTTTGGGGGTTGCCATTCAATTACAGCTTTCACTTTGGCTGGATCCATTTCAATGCCCTCGTTGGAAATTCTATAGCCAAGATAATCTAATCCAGTGGTTCTCAATCTTTTTAATGCCGCGACCCCCAACCGGTCGTAAGTCGAGGACTAAACCGGTCGTAAGTCGAGGACTAAACCGGTCGTAAGTCGAGGACTACCCAACCGGTCGTAAGTCGAGGACTTTCCCTGCCCGGGAGCACCGCGCATGCGTGGTTCCGCCCCCTGTGCCGGCCAAGGCGTAGCTGGCAAGCGGCAGAGACAGAGCAGGCCGACCACCAGCTGGCCCAGCCCAAGGGAGGTAAGGCACCCGCCGGAAAAGGGAAAAAATGGCAGACAGCCTTGCTTGGCGACCCCCGTGAAATGGTCTATCGACCCCAAATGGGGTCGCGACCCATAGGTTGAGAACTGCTGATCTAATCGGGTCTGGTGAAATTCACATTTTTACAGTTTGACATAAAGCTTGGCATTTAATAGTTTCTTTAACACTTTTCTCTCCAGCTTTATATGTTAAGTCATATTCGTGCTGTATATCAAGATGTCATCAAGATACACCAGAACCCCTTTGTATAAGTGATCATGTAGGACTTCATTAATCAACTGCATGAATACAGCTGGGGCCCCTTCTGGTCCAAATGGCATGACTTTGAACTGATAGCTCCTCATCGGGCAGTTGAAGGCAGTTTTCCATTCGTCTCCCTCCTTTATTCTCACCCGGTAATATGCCTCTCTCAGGTCTAATTTAGTGAAGACACTCCCCTTAGCCAGGTGGGTTAGTAAGTCCTTCAGGAGGGGGAGGGGGTATTTATTTTCCACACTCACAGCATTGAGACCCTTATAGTCTACGCAGAGACCCATCTTTTTTTTCTTTATAAAACACAGGGGCTCCCACAGTAGACTTGGCCCGTTCAATGAACCCCCTCTCTAGGTTTTTGTCCATATATCGCTGCATCTCCTCCATTTCGAGGGGGCCATGGCATACATTCTCGGTCGTGGGAGTTTGGCTCCTGGCAACAATTCAATGGAACAATCATTGGGTCGGTGGGGAGGCAGGGTGTCACACTCCTTCTCACTAAATGCCTCTGCCAGGTCCCGGTACTCACTGAGGATGAGTGGTTCTCCTGGTGGCGGTAAGGCAGCCACGTGTGCTTGCTCGTTGAGTGGGCTAAAGTTTCCTGTAACGTCTGTTGAATCTATAGGGGGCTTGCACCCTAT